TTTTACCTATATGACTTCTCTTATCATTAACCATTCGGTGCAAAGTATAGGATGATATCATTCTCAACTTTATTGAAGGATTGCCGACTTCCCACAACAAGGACATAATATTGGTAGTAGTGGATAGGTTAAGTAAAATTACACATTTCCTAACCTTAACTCATCCATTATTATTAAAGTTGTGACTGAAAAATTTATGGAAAGGATTATCAAGTTGCATGGGTTGCTAAAATCCATCATCAGTGATCTCGATCCAATCTTTATTAAAAGGTTTTAACAATAATTTTTTCAAATGTCAAGCACCAAGTTACAACCTACCTCTGCCTATCATCCGCAAACCGACGACCAAATGAAAATGGTCAACCACTGTGTGAAGCAGTATCTTTAATGTTTTGTGCATCAATTGTCGTGCAAGTTGAGTGCCTATCTTTCTTGGGTTGTGTTATGGTATAATACAACGTACCATGCCTTAATAAGAATGACTCTATTTTAGGCATTATACATGTGTCCACCCCCTTTATTCCCGCTTTATCATAATATTTTTTCTTCCATCAATGAAGTGGATGCGCAACTGATAACTGGAGATGCAATACTACAATAGCTCAAATTTGGAAGCCTCCAACAATCGCATGAAAAAAATGGTTGATAAAAAAAAGAGGGATGTCACGTTCGAAATAAGTGAAATGATGTTTCTCAAGTTACATCCTTATTAGCAACAATCAATTTTTAAACATGCTCACTAGAAGCTTGCCAGTTGATTTCATGGGTTATATCCTATGATACAAAAAATTAGAGTGGTTGCTTACAAAATTCAACTACTAATGAGAGCCCGCATTCACCTAAAATTTCATGTCCCCCCCTTAAAGAAATTTATTGGCGAGCATACACTATCATTCATTGAGTTGCCACCCTTAACTAATGAAGGAGCGATCGTGCTTGAGCCTCGACACATTCTGAATACTCGTTGGATAAAAAAAGGCAAGAAATTTTAAGAAGAACACCTGGTTCAATGGAAATATTTGCCAGCTAAAGAGGCCATGTGGGAGACACACTAGTCATTACTTGAGTAATTTATAGATGTGGACCTAGCGGACAAGAGTCCACTCGGTGTGGAAAGTATTGATAAGCCATGGTGTTTAGCTAGAGGTTTCAAACCAAATCCCAAATATTTGAGAGAAGGTTGACGGGAGACGCAAATAAGATGTAACGACACAGTGCATAGGAGTGGCGTGCAAACGTGCATAGACTGGGTTTTAGCAACGTGCATGGACTGAGTTTTAGCAGTTGGATAAATGCATTCTTAATGTCATCTTTCTAGTGTATTTTATTTGAGTAGTATGTGGAATTCATTTATATTATTTCATTTGTTAGATGTTAATTACTAGTAATAGCCTTAAAATGTTTCTCTGTTTTTTTATTACTCTATTAGTCAGTTTCATGCATATGATCTGCTATTTAAGCAATCATGGATTATCAATGAGGGATAGAAAAATTATTTCAGTTAAACTATGGTATATCCTCACTTGAAGAGGGTATTTTCATGAGCATTTTTATTTACATTTAAATGGATCCTATTAGTTAGTACCAAAAAAAGATTAAATGTTAACATTGTCAGGGAGAAATGCTGGAATTAAACTAAGTTTGTATTAAGTTTTTATCCTCATGGTCTAAGGATTTTATCGCGTGGTAATTGTTGGTTTTTTACTTGACATAAAACTTATTAATACTTGATAAAATTAGTTTTTTAATTGATGAAGGATTTTTTATTGGATGGTTAGAGCTTCTATTTCTATAAATATAAGAGCTTCATCTTGTGTCTCTATGGTTTTTTTTTATAAAAAAAACACTAATGCTACCTGTGGTTTATAAAAAAATTGTGTTGTGTAAAGGGAGGATAGCATGGTTCCGGGTTTTGTAAAAAAAAAAAAATTCCTAACTCTCCTTTGAACAATTTAAAATATTACGGTCAAAACTAGTAAAATTTAAGTTTTGTCTATGCAGAAAAAATATTCTAATCTTAATCCCCTTAAAAACATTTATAGCTTAAGTTGCAACTTGAATTTTAAATAATTAATTTTTTTAATCAATAAAATAAAATAACGTCTTGTAATTTTTCGATATTCAGTTTTTCAATAATAGAGAAGAAGAAAGAAAAATTCTGGGCCATACCAAACAAGAATTTAGAGAGGTTGGAGAAACGTAAGAAAAATGGCATGACAAAGTTCGGCAAAGGAAAATGAAGGCTTGTCCTTTAGGTTTACTACCATGGCTAAAATTAAGCATCTTTTATGCAATAATTATCTACATTTTGCTTGGCATCACCCATTGTTGTGGGAAAAAAAATAGTTAAAAAAAATAAATAATCTTGTCATTAAGGGATGCCTACTTCTTCTTCTTCTTCTTCTTCTTTTAGAACAACCTTGCACACATTTTAAGCATCTTTTATACAATAATTATCTACATTTTGCCTGGCATCACCCATTGTTGTGGGAAAAAAATAGTTAAAATAAATAATTAATCTTGTCAATAAGGGATGCCTCCTCCTCCTCCTTCTTCTTCTTCTCTTCTTAAAGTTGACTGACTACAGTCTTTTTTTATCAAAATTATTAGGAATTCTATTGCAAAGTCATGATCAGTAAACATGTCGGGACACTTTTTTCAATCAATTTTGATAGAGTTGAGGACCCGATTGGTACGATTTTTAGTATGTGTTTCCAATAATGTTGCTATTGTATGACAAAATAGTCTTGACATTGATTAGAACCACATCTTTTTGTACAAAATTTCAAAGGTTTAGCCCTGAAATTCTTCTCATTGTCTGTTTTCAACCATCAATTTAATTCATGTGTTTCCAATTCAGTTATTCCTAACCTTATGTTATATAATTTAAATCAATTAAAACCAATTACTAAAACCCATTTAAATCTCTCTGTATTAACCAATACAGAGAGTTTGTAACGACACACAGGAGAATTGGAATTCAAAATTAACATTCATGAGCTTTGATAATTTTTTTAATTGATTTAAATTGGATAACACAAAAGTAAAATGATGAATCGAAAACACATGAACGAAATTGACGACTGAAAATGAAAATAAATGCAAGAGCAAACTATAAAGAGCATCATACTATAAAACTAAGAGATTTATGTTAATAAGAAAAGCCATATACTTTTATTGAGTTTTTTCATGTATAAATATAATAAAACAATCAAAACACATTTAATGTTTAATAGGATTAAAAAAGAAGAAGAAGCTCAGGATACTTTACTAAGAGAAGTTACTCACTTTAATCCTATTGGTATAATTAAAAATTTATTTGTAAAAATAGCTAGGTGGTTTTAAATCCATGAAAAATAACCTTAATTTCATCTAATAATTTAAATTGTTAGGTGAGATTTTAAAATATAATTTATATTATTTTTTAATTTTAAAATTTATATAAATTTATATTACTTTGTATTTAATTTTTATTACATAAATATAAATAATAAAATTAAAACTTGTAACTGTTTGGTCATTAAAATTTTAATATTAAAAAAAATTAATTTAATTTAATAGTTTAAGTTATTAAATAAAATTTTAAAATATAATATATATTATTTTTTATTATTAGTATTGTAATTTAAAGATTAAGACACGTGACACATTTCTGATGATACGATGTAAATACATCAATTTAATCACATATCATTTACCCTTGTTACTTTCTACCTCTTTAGCCCTAGGGCATCCTCCATCGCCTATATCAACACCTTACCAATCTTAGTAGATGCCGACTACTAGGCTAACCATGCACCAGTCCTTGCTCCCAGTAATTATAGCTTGCTATTTCCGTGACAGGAGAACCCCTTTACTCTTTAGTTTGTGTCACCACAAGACTGGAAGATTTTTCTACTCAAACAGGAACGGTGTTTTCTTTAATCTGTCTCTTTCCTTGTACTCCAATGTTGTATTTGCAATGATTCTGCTTAACCATACATGCTACAAAAGCTACTCATTACAAAGTACTAGGTTGCATATTCAATGTTTACATCTTTTCTTGCCAACTCCCTTTAATTATCCCCGACATATTTCATTAATGCTATGTAAACTTTGAGTTCTATTAACGATAGTTGTTTGCTTCAACTCTTTACTTTGTTTCATGGTGAATCCATGTCCAATGGTGGATAAGACAGATATTTGGACGCCCCAAATACATGTAGTCATAAAGAAGATTTTTAAAAATTAATCAGTTCGATATGGGTATGCATGTGAAGCTTGTGCTGGAACTTGAATCACTTATGTTACATGTGTGGTTAGTATTCTAGTACAAAGAGCCAAAATATTATCTTGATTAACATTCAATAAAAAGATAAGAATGACTTAGAGATATGATTTAGCGGAGAAATCTGTTTGTGCAGGGCAATTATGCTCCTCAAAACAGCTTGTTTTCTCCTTTGGTTTCAGTGTTTTGATGCACTTAGCAGCTACCGAGCTGGTGTTGCTCCCAAATAAGAATGCAGAGTGGTAGCCCCGGACCCTTCTCAGGTGGGGCTTTGGCAAATTGAAAACAGAACAGGAAGTGATGGGTCTAACACAGGTCCAAGCACTCTCTTGATACAAGGCAAGATAAAGTGCCCTGCTGACACTCGCATAGAGCATCCAAAAAAAATAAAAATAAGAACACCATTGGGAAGAGCTTTCATGGCAGCTATAAAAAGGACTACAAGTCCAACAAATTGGAATATCACCTAATTTTCTCATTGAGTAACTGCTTACACTGCAAATCCCCCCCTCCCCTGCAAAAATAAAAATCCACACAAGGCATATAAGAGCGAGGGAAAGACAGGTAGCTACAAGATTCCAACATTTGCGCTCGGCGATTTCCCCAATGAGAACGGTCTTGGCTTTTCTTTTATCATCATCACACTTCTCTTCCGTTTCTCTTGACTGGCTAGCAGCCACTCTCCCTGCCACTTACATATATATCTTGCCTTGCCATTTCTTTGAAGCTAATTCGTAATGCAATGGCAATAGATTGCATCAAAACCATGCCTTCAAAAACGACCCATGATCACCATCCAAAAGATCAAGATCAATGCAAGGATGAGAGCAAGTCTTTAGTGTTCGATGCACAAGTTCTTAAATACCAATCAAGCATACCTCAACAGTTCATTTGGCCTGACCATGAAAAGCCTAGCGCTAATGCACCTGAACTCCAAGTTCCACTTATAGACGTGGGCGATTTCCTCTCTGGTAACCCTGATGCTGCAATGGAAGCTTCAAGACTTGTTGGTGAAGCATGTCAAAAACATGGGTTCTTTCTTGTTGTTAATCATGGAGTTGATAAAACACTCATTGCTCATGCTCTTAATTACATGGACAACTTCTTTGAATTGCCTCTTTCTGAGAAACAAAAGGCTCAAAGAAAAATTGGCGAGTCTTGTGGATATGCTAGTAGCTTTACTGGCAGGTTTTCCTCCAAACTTCCATGGAAAGAAACACTTTCTTTTAGCTATACAGCTGAGAAGAATTCATCAAAACATATTGAGCAATATTTTCATGACAGAATGGGGGAAGACTTAGCCAAATTCGGGTATGTGACAAAAACATTTTCCATTCAATTTGGTTCTGTTCAATGTTTTTTATTAGTATTTGACGTTTTGTAAAACTAAAATTCATCTTCCTTGTGTTGTCATCAGAAGGGTGTTCCAGGATTACTGCGAGGCCATGAGCACTTTGTCACTAGGGATCATGGAGCTATTAGGAATGAGCCTTGGTGTGAGCAGAGCACATTTCAGAGAATATTTCAAAGAGAATGATTCAATAATGAGGCTTAACTACTACCCTCCATGCCAAAAGCCTGAACTTACTTTAGGAACTGGTCCTCATTGCGATCCAACTTCTTTAACCATCCTTCATCAAGACCAAGTGGGTGGTCTTCAAGTGTATGCAGACAACGAATGGTGTTCGATTAGCCCCAATTTCGACGCTTTTGTCGTTAACATTGGCGACACCTTCATGGTAAGATACTAATCCGCACCGAGCTGTGTTATAAATTATCATCATCAAAGTGAAACGGTGCTGTCCATGTGCTGTGATAATCTCATACATGATAAACAGATAGAATTGTCTCATAGCTACGTGGCAGTTGTTTAAATTATTTCCAAATTTGCGTTGATGATTACAAGGAGGACTGATACTAGGTGGGTTTTTGTTGTCTTTCAGGCTTTATCAAATGGTAGATACAAGAGTTGTTTGCACCGAGCAGTGGTAAACAGCCAAACACCAAGAAAATCTCTTGCTTTCTTCTTATGTCCAAGGAATGACAAGACGGTAACTCCACCAAAGGAATTAGTGGACACATGCAATCCAAGAATATATCCAGATTTCACATGGCCTATGTTGCTTGAATTCACACAAAAGCATTACAGAGCTGACATGAAGACACTTGAGATGTTCACAAATTGGCTTCAACAAAGAAATGTTAGCTGAACAAGTGGGTCAAGTTATGCGTTGCATAAATAGACCTGGGGGCATGCTATAGTCCTCTTCAACAAAGAAATGTTAGCTGAACAAGGGCATGCTATAGACCTGGAGGGTAGTAGTTAAGCCTCATTATTGAATCATTCTCTTTGAAATATTCTCTGAAATGTGCTCTGCTCACACCAAAAAAAGAAAGGAAAGTGATACTGATGGGGAGGGGAGTGGAAAGGGAAAGAAATGAAGCTTGAAAGAGATGGGGATTTTGATGAGATCTGGGGGAGAACAACACTACATGAAGAGAGGAAAAGAAATTTGAGACTCTCAAAGGACAACTTTCCTTCATGCCCATAGGTCTGGTAATTACTAGCTAGCTTATTTATTGGCCATGAACAAAAGCTAAAATCCACAAACCAATAAAATGTTGGATTGGCTAATTGCTTTTTGTATTTTCTTTGATAATGTAAAAAGGTTATCACTAGCATCTATCAATTATCAAAAAAAAAAAAAATCCCCTGTTTTAGGAGCATTTGAATTCACCATTACAACATGACTTGTTTTTTTTTTTTTTTCTTTATATAGAACTCACATCAGCTAATTAATATTGTTCGCAATTGTTAAAAAAATCTTATTTATAAAAATTACTTGTTTGATAATGTGATGCGTGATGAAAATATTTTAAAATAATATATTTTTATTAGCATATTAAAATTATTAAAAAATATCTTAAAAATATTAATTTAATATTTTTCAAATAAAAATAATTCAAAAAGCCTAAATCATCGCTAAAGTGCTCAAAATGACAAAGCTAACAGTAGTGTTTGTAGCGAAATAAATTGTTCTTTCTTTAATTTATTTAATTTTCTTTCTTTGTTGGTACATCAATTCTTTCTGAGTGATAGCAGAATCAGCCAAAGAAAATTTCCAACGTGCACGCAAAATTACTTTCCCTGTAAGCACCAAAAAGGCCTTTTCATCAAGCATGTGGATGCAAAGGACTGACTATGTGGGACAAATTGACAAGTCCCACTATACATAGCCATACCTAATATCAAGAAGACGAAACAAACCGATCAAATTATTAATTTGGTGTTTTTTTTAAAAAAATACATTTTTCTTTTTATATTGATATTGATATTGAAAAGCTATACCTGCATCAATTAAGAAAAGAAATATTATATAAGAAAAAACAAAAAAAATTATAGTGCTCATTAAATAATTAAAAAGATATTCTCTTAGTTACTTCCGATAATTAAATAAATTCTATATGGAACATTTTTATCAAATATTCTCTTAGTTACTTTCGATAATTCATTTAAAAAAAAGATATAAATATTAGAAATAAATTCTATATGGAACATTTTTATCATTATTAAATCATAAATTTTATTATTTTTATTTATTTGATTTCAGTATCTGTTTTCAAAGTTAATATAAAGAATAATTAAAAAAGATATGTTAATATAGAGAATAATTAAAAAAATATCTTTGATTTTTCAAAAAAATTTATAATACTCCAGATGTAATTAATAAGATGATATTAATGAGATCCACTTTATAAAATTAAATATATACAAGTATGAGAAAAAATTATTATATAAAAATATTCTTATCACTTTCATTATAGATCACTTGTGTTCCCCACCTAAAATCTTCTAGGGAATTGTCAAATTAGATATGAGTGCAACTTTCTACAAGTGACCACACATCTTAAAGTTAGTCCCCCAAATATCAAATGATTAACATTGTAGTCCCTGCATGAAACCCTTCTCAATTGGATCCCAAATGTATCATGTAATTCTCAACTGACACCACATCTGAAATTATCACTCTCTTTAAACAAGAAAGATTAAATGATATTGAAAACGGTGTCATTTTGTTGCATGGTGGATGTAGAGTGACACAATTGAAGAATATCTGATACTTCTGGGTCTTAAATGAAACCCTTTTTTTAATTATTTTCGAGGTCTCTTTTAATTTTCTTTTGAATATAAGATGACAGCATATGATTACAGCAGTGACCTTCAAGTAACGTTCATGTACTAAATGATTTATTGACTTCATTTAAAGTTTCCAAGGCCCTACATGAGAGGTATGATCAGGAAGCTCCACATAAATCCGAGTGAAGAAATGGCGCACCAATTGAATGATATCAGAGGAAGAGGTTGCTTGGATTGACAGAGAAATCCCCTGTGGTAATTTAACTCTGCTAAAATATATTTTATTATATTTTGTTTTTAGCTAGTGTTATCTTCTCTTGTGTCTGGAAATCTGGAAGTTTTTGCATCATAGAATCGAAAGGGAATACTTTGCAACATTTGTCGTGGTTTTTGCCTTTAAACGGCGCAACATTCTTTCTGGCTAATATTATAGGACACTGCCAACATTTTTCAAAATGAAAATGTCTACATAATTATATTTGGTTAATATTTCATGGTAGAAGGGATAGTTATTTAATTGAAAAAATAAAAATAAAAGTGGAGATGAAACTGAAAATAATTATATATGTAGCTAAAGGACGTGGAGAAATTACTGTTCCCCATACTTAAATAAACTGTGAATTACTGTTGTAATTCTTTTAATTTTTTATTTTTTTTGTTATTTTTTAAAATTACTTTTTTTATTTTTTATTTATAAAATTATTTTTATTGATTTTATTTTTTAAATATTAAGCTGATTAAAAAATTTACTTTGTACAGTAAAAAGGACACTGTCATCATTTTACTAATAATTTTATGCGTGGATATTTGGGTAGCCTGTTATATGTTCCCACTTGGTCTCCTAGATTGATAGTAGGTTATTGGCAAATTAAATATTTTTATTTTAAATATAAAAATTATTTAGATATTTTTATTTTATTTTTAAAAAAAATTATTATTTTAAACTTATATTGGATGATATCTTTGAAAATATTAAAATAATAATATATTAAATATATATTTTTTAAAAAATATATTAGATTAAATAAGTGAGTTAACACGTTAAATTTATGATCTAAATTATGAGATTATGATAGCTTTATAAATTAAAATAAATTATAAAATTTAATTTTAAATCAATCTAATATTAAATGATAAAATTTAAAAAATATTCAATTAAAAATAAACAAAAAAAAAATAAGTTAACCTAAATTAAATTATTAAATTTCCAAATTAGGTCAATGAGACCGAGATAATTCCATAAAAAATAAGTAAAAAAATAAAAAAAAATCTAATTTTTAATTAATTCAATATTAAATGATGAGGTTGAAAAAAATTAATTAAAAAAACATGAGCGAACCCAAGATTTCCTGTCAAATTCTCAATTTGAATTATAAGATGAAGATAAATTTATAAAAAAATAAATAAAAAAATTACAAAATTTAATTTGATTGTATCTAATATTAAATGTTAAAATAAAATAAAAAATTATAAAACTAAAATAATCTTATATAAAATAAATTAAAAAAAATTGCAAAGTACACGCCTCAAACAACCTAACAATAATTAATAAAATTTTTAAAAAAATCTAAATTAAAAGTACAAAATGTTATTATAATGAATAATACTTTATAATTATACTGCATGGATTTAGCTATATCTTTTAGGTTTTGTCATTGAATTAATTCAAGTATTTTTATATCATTTAAAAAAACAATATTATTTTAATTTTTTTAAAAAAAACACTATTTTTTTATTAAACCAATCCCAAATCAAAGGGTTAATGAATTGCTCCGTGGGGCTATAAATTAACCGAAGGCATGAGAGGTTCGAAAGAGTAAAACAAGGATTTTATATGGCTGATCAATAATCACTCAGTCTGGGCGAGGTTCTAGTCCAGCGGTGAGAGGGGTTTGTTCCCTTTTTCCGCACCTGGGTTCGAGCCTTACCGCGCACGCCTGTCACCCCCGCGGTACCTTACCTGCTCACTGGGCTTGCAGGATGTTTAGTGGACCGTAGGGATTAGTCGTGGTATGCGTAAGCTGGCCCGAACACCCCACGTAAATCAAAAAAAAAATCACTCAGTTTTTTTAACCAAAACATTTAATCACTCGTTAATATGTCTATAACTTACTCCTAATTGATTACATTAACGTGAAGGACATGATCTTAAAATTATTAATGAAATAAAAATTAATTTCAGTTAACACATTTTTTATTCTAGGTTTTAATTAGAGGATTTGTTTTTTTCATTAAACATATTTTGACCAAATAATAATAATCTTTTGATGATTGAAGTAAATAAATATTAGATTATTAATCTTACATGATTTACAATTTTTATATGCTTTTAATGTCATAAAATCTTGTTTTGTTTAAGAGTCATGTTGTTGGATCATTTTGAATGTCCATCAATGTCCTTTGTTTTTTTAGATTTTAATATGTTTTAATTAAAATATTTTTAGTATTTTCTTTATTTTTGCAAGTTTAATTTGTTTTTTGGATTAAACCAAAGATATTTGGCTCGATTTATATTTGAACCAAAAGTTTTTGGTGAACATAATCATGTTCAATTTAAGTCAAATGGTTAAGATTCTCTTTGACTTGTGATGTTTTTGCTAAAAGATTTTTTATGTTAAGGATGTGTTAGGCAAACATCTTCTTGAGCTTGTCTTGATAGTTTTATTTCAAGAAAAATGAGTCTGCGCCAAACAAAATCTAAAATAAATAAATAAATAAAATATTTTCTTGTATATGGCTAAAAATTTTAAAAATTATTTGAGCATTTTTTCAGAAATTTAAAATACTTTTGGCATGTTTTAAAAAATATTGCATGGATTTTACAATAAACTTGTAAAATTTCAAAGGATTTTGCCCTATATTTCAAAAATATTAAAAATTAATTTTAAAAAATATTATTCACTTTTAATATAAATATAAGAAAACCTAAAAGGGGTTAATATCTAAAATATTATTATGAATAATAATTTATTATTACTTAGTTTAATATAAGAATAAAAAATATGTCTACGATTAATATAGAAAATATTATTAGAAATAACACAACACACTCATTTATAATATAAGGATAAAAATTATAGAAAATTTTATCTAAAATATTATTTAGAATGACACAATAGCTAAAAATTATAATTTTATCCTAAAAAGAGCCTCAATAATAATCAATAACACTTCATAATTTAAACCAAGTTTTTGATATAGAAATCAAGTTTTGTTCATTGTAGAACATCATCATATTATACCGTGGCGAAGGCAGGGAGGCGGGGCCCTTGAAAGGAAAATTTTCCTAACTCTTCCCTTATATAAAATAATTGAAAATTTAACACTTTTAAAATAATTTTTTTTAATTTGATTTTTTTTATTTTTTTATTCTATCCTTGACATCATAGCAAATAAAGCGAAAAAAACAATGATGTTTATCCTAGTATCATAAATACTAATATCTTTTTTCATGCAAGTTATTTATTTTAAATATCTAAAAACATCAGTTAGAATTTTTAATAATTTTAAGATTAAATAGCAACTCCTAAACCGACCAAAAACCATTCTAAAATATGTTTGAAAAGGATCGCCACAAAGTAGAGCCCCCAACAAGGATAGTAAGACAAATGTAATCCCAACAAAGTATATTC